ACCATTGTTACATTGTAAAAGATATGTTCTAACATGGTTTAAATGCTGTCAACTTTAAAAAAAAAAACAGCCTTAAGAAGGAGAGGGAGGAATTATGAAATCTGTGCCTTAGCAGGAATAGAAATGTTTCTCCTTTTTATGAGTGGAAATAGCTTGGTGCAAGAGCTGTTGAAGAATTTTCCACAGCATTAAGCCTCCCCAGAAGTTAAAAAAGAAACTAGAGCTAAGATGCAAAGTGCATAAACCAAGGGAAAAGGAATGAGATGAATTTGACTAATACCTGCAAGGTGAAACTCCCCAGTACCTGATGCCCTGGTGCATGTGGGGAAGGAGGGGTCAGAGGGCTCCAGGTGGCTGGAGGCCAGAGAGGCTGAGGCTGGTAGTGGTGGGCACTGCCTTCTCCACCACTGTTCCGGCACTCACTCTCCCCAACCCCACGTGTGATGGGGCTCCACAGACTTGCCTTGTGAGTTCCTAACAAGTTCCATACCACAGGTAACATGGGTTGGTGGTCTCAGGGTGGTGAGATAGAAGGAGGGGAACATCACAAAAGATCTGAAAGTAAAAGAGGGAGGTTCCAAGATCTCTACCCAGGGACTTCCCTGGTGGTCCAGTGGCTAAAACTCCGAACTCCCAATGCAGAGGGCCAGAATTCCATTCCTGGTCAGGGAACTAGATCCCACATGACACAACTAAAGATCCATCATGCCACAATGAAGATGGAAGATCCTGAGTGCCACAACTAAGACCTGGTGCTGCTGAATAAATTTAAAAACTACAAAAAGCAAAACAAAAACAAAAAAAAACCCTCCACCCAGAGGCTCCTATGCCCTGACTGGTGACAAGAGGTTACCCAAGTGGCAAAAGCCCTGGGGAGCTTGTCTGGGGGCTGCCCTGGGCCAAGTTTCATCACCAGCTATTTTTATTTTTAGCCTATGCCGCTTCTCAGTGTCACCAGGTCTATAAATGTCCATATGATTTGCTGTGCCTGGGCCAGGGCAGAAGGGAGCAGCTAAAAAGTCTTGTGCTAGGCCTTGTGCTGGAAAATTTGCTGCCCTTGACTGGCATACGCCTGTATCTCTGGTGCCCCAGGTTACCTCCATAGGGCACTGCCCTCAATTCTCTGGGCACCCCACCATGGCTATCACTCCTCACCAGCTCCTCTCCAATCAGGCTTCAGAAAGAGGGTTCCCTGAACACAGGTAAAATCAACAGGTGTCAGGAGGCAGATAACGGCGAATTCAGGTCTCTCACAATCCCACAGGGTGGCTTATCGAAGGCCAATCTTTTGGGGAATGAGAGAGCAGTCTCCAGGCCTGTGGTGCTGCCTGAAGCTAACAGACTCCCTCCAGCCCTCCTCTCTCTTCCGGCCACTCTGCACCCTGCTGGCGAGCTGCTTCCACACTGCTCTGAATGTGTGTCTGGGCTCTCAGGCATCCCGCACATCCCTCTCATTCTGGTGTTATTCCTGCAGCGTTGAGGGGAGGGGAGCTTGAGCTTCTCCATTGGGCGGCTGACCAGTTGAGGAATCTCTATTCCCCCTTGCCAAAATGGGAAGAAGAAGAATAGGGCTTACCTTACAGGACAGCTTACCCTTGCACACTGTGATTAAGAAATGAAGGACTCAAGACTCTAGTGTATCCCCCGCCCAAATCTGCCAGAGGAGGGGGCAGCTTGCCCCTACTGAGAGACTTGTGCCCTTCCACGCAGACTGACCATTTGCTTTCAATATTCTCTCCAGCCTCTTGTCACCAAAACAGTTTGGCCGATTGAGATGAAAGAAATAGACTCCTCACTTGTCTTCTGTATTCTACTTTTACTCTCATCTCTCCCATTCACCATGCTGAACACAGTCGACAGAATCATCCTATGGTTCCTCGTTGCTCCAAGGCTAAAATTCCAACTTCTCAACAGGGCCTGGTAGGCCTTGCATGACCTGACTCCTCCCACCTCTGCAAGCTCATCCATCTCTAGCCACCTCCCTCACCATTCTGCTCCCCAGCTACCCTACATTCCAGCAATATAGAACTTTCTTTTTTCCACTGGGTTTCTTTCAATGTCTCACCATCTGACCACCTCACCATTGCCTACCTAGAACATTCTCCCTCCTCCCCTGCCCCGTTCTCATCTCCACAGGCTCTCTATCACCAGCCTACTTCTTACATTTCCTGCAGGTCACATCCTTCAGGAAACCTTCTCTGTATATCCCCCTCACCTCTCCAATTCTTCTAGAATATACATTCTTTCCAGTGCCACCAGAGCACTTAATATAGCATTTTATCTACAACTTTTATTTTCCCCACTAGAATGTTATCTACGTGGTCATGGACTCTATCTATTCTTTTATTTAACACTTACATAGAACTGACTCTGTACTAAGCACTTCTGTAAACATTTTGTAAATACTGATTCATTTAATCCTCATAACAATTCTATGAGGTACTATTGTTATTGTCACTATGCAGATGATAAAGCTGAGGCAGAGTTAACTAATTTGCCCAAGGTCACATAGCTAGTAAATGGCAGAGTGGGGATTTGAACCTGGAAATCCAAGTTCTTCACTGATATAATATGCTGTGTCCCTTGTTCACCAATGTATTCTTGTTGCTTCTCATATAGAAGATCCACCCAAGGAATATTTGGATAAAGAAAGAATGGATAAATGAATAAAGATTGTGGAAATAACAAAGTCCTTAGTGGGACCAGTGGGAGGAAAAGCAGTAGCCACAGACTGAGACAGAAATTAAGTTTAGGATCCAGAGAAGTTGAAAGCAAATAGTCCAAGCAGTAAGGAAGATGCTGGGAGAAGTGGCAAGTGATGAAAGGCAAGGTGGCAGGTGCAGGGGGAGCTCAGAAAGGCAAGGGACAAATGGCTCAACAGTCAACAAAGAAAATATAAAACAGACAATTAGATTTGGCCAGGAACTTTCCTCTGGATCCTCAGAGCAGTTTCCAAAGAGTGCTGAGGAGAGAAACCAGATGGCATGGCCTTGAGGAAGGAGTAGATGGTGGAGAAACCAGACAGTGAGATTTTACTCTTCTCTGAGCCATGAAAGGTAGAGTTTGGGAGGGGATAGTAATCAAGTTAAGTAAGGTCTTTTTGTCAAGATGTGGTGATTAGGGTTTGCTTAAAGGCAAGGTAACAAATCTTTGGCAAGTCAGAAATTAAACCAATCCTCACCAAAACAAAGAGTCTGCTTTATGGGAGTGGACCACACCACAGTCAGCCACATGAAATGGAAACATGGGTAAAGTATGCTAACATTCGTTGTGAAGGGAATGAAGGCCAAGAGAGCAGTGCTTTGTAGGAATGCCTTCCTGAGAGATGTCCGGTAACTTCAGACATGAAGTAGAAAGAGGTCTGGAATGAGGGACTATGGTGAAGTATTAAAGTCAATTGATTTAGAGAGTACAAGTGGAATAAAAGAGTAGAGACATGAAGAAAAAAGAAGAAAGTATGTTCAAAAGCTCAGGAGTTCAATCCCTTCCTGCTCAGTGCCTCATCTAGGAAAACTCCTGAACTTCTAGACCACTGGACCACTGCTTCTACTTCACCTTTTATTTGTATCACTTTTGTCCCTGATTCATATATTGCTTATGTGGCCTCTTCTGAAATCTTATTTTTATGAAAATGTTATTGAATATGTATTTTTAATGTCTATTACAAAGAAACATAGCAAATGAAGTCATAAACACACTTTAGTTCAGGACTCCACGTAGTGCACAGCATAGTGCTAGGAATACACACCTTCATATTTAAAATCTGAGTTACATGAAGCGGTCAGCCAAGCGTGATCGGCCACTCATTGAGTCTCTCCCTAGAGCCACACCTCAGCACATCCCTCAGTGCTGTCCTCATTTACCTGAGCTGCACTTTCCTTTACTGAAAATTGAACATAATGCCACCTACCACAATGATTTCAAAGACTAAACGAGACTCATGTGGATGGCTGACACTTCATAGGTGCTTAATAAATGTGAGTTGAATCAGAAACCAGGCTGGCAAACCTTCCGTGTGTAAAGGCTGCAGAGACACAACAGTAGGTGGAACCATCACAGGCAGGCCAATACTTCGAAGTGCTCAACGAAACTGAAGCAGCTTGTGCACACAAAATGCCAGTTTAGGTAACCGTGTTTTAGTTTCCTTTCTAAGTAGAGATACATGGAATGCAACGCCAGCAACCGACTTACAAATACTGACCCAGAGTGGGGAGGGATCTGAAGGAATGCAAGTAAGTCTTGCCAGGAAAGAAGTTTGCTGCCTCTGAAATGTTTCGGTCTGAGCCACTGGCAGGATTGATCGATTGCAGTAAGCAAAGTTTTCTGTGCAGCCTGTCCAAGCATCTGTTTCTGTACTTCTGCAAATTGTTGCTCAAATTCACTCTTCTTTTCGAATTATCATCTTTAAAGAGCAAGTGAAAAATCCATTCAAGCCACCCTAAGTATCCTAACAGCTTCCAAGTCCTCTAAAGGAGGGTCCTTAACATTTCCCCTTACCCCCTGCCTGGGTTCAAACTTCAACTCTCAAGGTCCGCCCAAGTCCCTCCCCTTGCCCTGTCATCTAATGAATATGCAAATACCACATAATTGGCAGCCAATGGCGTGGGTTTTGGTCACATGGTGCCCATGGTAGGTGAGCGGACAGAAGTTGTGTGTCGGTGAACAGAGACAGCTCTCAGTCTGGGGCGAGCGCTTCAGTGAGCGTGGACGGATGCTCGGGTAGTAGTCTCTGCGGCAGCAGCAGCGGCAGTAGTGGTGCCAGAAGAGAGGAAGGGGGAGGGCCCCGAGGGCTACACACGCTCACATTTTCAAGTTCCCTTGGAGGGAGAAGAGGTGGGGCTGCAAAAAGAGGCCAGGAGCAGTTCCATCCGTCCCGTCCCGTCTTCCTCTTGCTCCCTGCACCCTGGCTCTGCGAGAGTTGAGGGTTCAGGTGGCAGTACGCGGCAGTGAGGGCAAGAGGGCCAAGAGAGTGGGAAGCGGAGCCAGGGGTGTGGGGGAAGATGCCCATCCTGCTGTTCCTCATAGACACGTCCGCCTCTATGAACCAGCGCACTGACCTGGGCACCTCCTATTTGGATATTGCCAAAGGCGCTGTGGAGTTATTCTTGAAGGTAAAGGGAGGGGAGGGGAGAGATGGGGAGAGTTCCCGAGGGATGGGGTTGGTGGTGGATTTAGGTGCTTCTGTAACGCTGGTATCGCCCCCTCCACCCCCTTCCCTTCGCGGCCCCCTCCGTCATCCCTCGTCCTGTAGCTGCGTGCCCGGGATCCGGCCAGCCGCGGAGACAGGTACATGCTGGTCACCTACGACGAACCCCCGTATTGCATCAAGGTAAAAGGCCATCCAGGGGGTGGGCCGGGCGGGAAGCAGGAGCCAGTCGGCCTGGGCAGTCGAGACCCCCTGCCCCCGCCCGAGGCGGTCCTGCGTCGCCAGGCGGGGCGGGCAGGGCGGAGTGGGGTGGGGGCGAGGGCGGGGGGAGTGGTGACTCCGCAGCTTCCGAGGAGCCGCGGCGCCTGGGGTCGGGAAGGGGGCCGGGGGAGGGACGGCCCCGAGGAGAAACCGCAGGAGAGCCGGGCTGGTGGCGGCGACGAGCACAGCTGCCTCGGAAGATGGCGGACATTTTGCTTTTGTATGAACCGGAGAGGGAGACCGAGGGCGCTGCTGAGATGGAAAGGAGGGAGGGGAGGGAGGAGAGGAGAAGGAGGGCCGGAGACGCGAAGGGAGGCTGCGGGCGGGCCCGCCCCTTCGGGTCGCACCGCGCGCGGTGGAGGCCGAGGGGCCGGACGGCGCCGGCTACTCCGCCCCAAGGTGCTGCGGACTCGCGCGCGGGTTTTCCTGGCGCCCGGGCTCCGCCCCCGGCCCCTCCTCCCCACTCCTCCCGCCCTGCGCCGCTTCCCCTCCCTCTCTTCCTCCCGCTCCCCTCCCCTTCCTGCTGAGAGCGTGGCAGAGCCGGCCGCCGGCCTTCAAAGATTAGACTGCTGCTTTTGTGCGTCTGTGGTCTCTAACCCACCCCCACCCAATGGAAAATCAGTCCGCGGAGCCAGCCTCCCAACCCCCCGGCCCGCAGAAACAGCCCTGTTCACTGCTTCTCCTGTGTCGGTCCGGTTAACCCCGGCTCTGTTACCTTAGCTACTGTTAGTGTTTCATTGTAGATTCCACCCGAGCCGCGACGGGGTGGGGCGGGGAGATGCCTAGTCGGAACCCGCGGGCACAGAGCTTTTGGGGGACCTGGCCTACCTATTGACATCATAAATTAGGTTTGTGTTGGTCACGTAGGGATTTGTCCAGGGAAGAGAAAGGAAGGAAGGGGAGGACTCTCTGTGCGCAGTTACAATAGCCAAATTCGATGACTTGATCCACGGGGTTCTGACCTGCAGGAGATAAGTAGGGAGCATTTCACCTTCCAGCCCTCATCCTGATGGTGCGGAGATAAAGAACTGCTTTGCCTGCAGTGGCCCGATAAAATAGAACTCAGACTATTAATGCAGCCTGCTTAAGAGTCCTGCTTGCATATTGAAATTTTAAACATATATTACCATAATCCTTGACGTCTTTTGCTAGATGCCCTCTTTTTCTCAGAATTCTCTTAACAGAGCCGAGGAGGCACTGAATGTGTTATAATCCGTTTTAGCCGAGTGAGGTGTTTAAAAGAATGGAACCTACCAAACTGAATAGTTGGCTAAAGAGAGCGTTCCTTCAGAAGTAAAACTGAAGAGAGACTTTACTTTTGTAACTCGTAGCTTGAGTTAACAGTTTGATTAGTAGGTTCCCCTGAAAACCGTTCTGGTTTTAATGCTTTGTTTTTCGTTTTTGATTTATCTATTTAGAAAAATGGAGCAAGTAGACATCTTTAAGAATGCCATAAGTTTTTAAACATGTCAGTTTCCTACAAGGGTGTGACCATTTTTTTCCACATAGAAAAGCAGATGTTTGTCCATCCTAAGTATGAAAGTCTACACCCTTGGAGTACTAATACAGATAAGAACCCACTGTTGTACTGTGGCCATTTGAAATCCTCCTTATTTTGAAATAGTAAACAGGATAAATTACAAAGCAGTAGACTTTTTTTTTCTTTAAAGGAATAATTTAGTTAACATTTTCCTGAACGCCAAGACTCATAGATGAAAAATTATTTTTGATCTATAAAGCTTTTATGGCAATATTTACAGAATCTTTGGAAAGGAAAAAGAAAGTCTGGCCCCCATCTTAACAACCATCATCACAGCTTTTTTTTTTAACCTAGCATTGTAATCACAGTGTACTGTGTTACTTTTGAATTCTACCTTTTCCATCTGTTTTGTTCTATGAATTATTCCCAGTAGCCACATAGTCTTCATAGTTAAAATTTTTCGTGGCCGTGTAACTTCCCCATGGTGTTTTAGATGCTCCAGGTAGTTCTGTGGACAGAGGGGAAAAGTTGTATTTTGCTTTTAGTGGAAATTTCATCTGTCAGCTCTTTTTATCTTGTAACCTTGTACACTACATTTTATCCTGAAGTAAAAAACATTCTTCTAAGCTGGCTTTGATCTTTTTTTTTTAATGTGGACAGGTATGTGAAGACAATTTGATTAATACTTTCAATTACTAATCATGAGCTATCCTCTTCCTTACGCTTTTCCAAAGTCATTCAGGTTTTTTCTTTTTAATCTTATAACTACATGTGCTAGGGAACAGTTACTGATTTTAGTGATGTTCTTGTCATTTTTCTGTCTATAACTGAATTGCTAATGATATGCCATATTTTGGTAGTACTTTCTTTCTCTGAGTCCCTTTCAGTCACTCTTTTTCTGCCTACCCCATCCCTCCCCTCAGCATGTGGTAACTATTTGTTCTTCTGCTTCTAGGACCTAGCCATTTTGGAAGGTCTGAAATTTTAGAACATCTGGTGAATTTTTCTTAAAATTTAATCTAATCTTTCACTTGCTGATAACTGGGAGCCATAAATGTCTGTTTTCTGTCACACCAATTATCAAATAGGTCTTTATTTGACTGTCAGCAGGCATCTTAGTTCCTACTTAAAACTTCACTCTTCCCTAGGAGTCTGAGGTCCTTTCAGCAAAGTGATGTTAGATGAGGTTTTATTTGTAACTTATTTTTCTGCAGAAAATAACATGAAGTGTATTTTTGGGTTTCTCTACAGTTGGAGGGCTTTATCTCTTGTCAAAGAAACTGCTTAGTTATTTCTCAGGTCTTGGTTATGTCTAACTGTAAACACTGCAATACTAATTTTTTTCCTAGTAGAAGATTCAATTGTATTGGTGGTGTAACAGGCATGAGTTGTTCATTTGGTTGGAAGGTTTATTCCCTAACAGGCGTGGAACTATTCCCAGTATATCCACTTACAAGCTCTGACAATAAATCTTGTTGTGAAAAGTTACTGTGACTGGAATTCTTCACTAAAGTGTACTGTTAAGCATATGAATATAGTATTTCACCCAGGACTTCGTAGCTTCTTACTGCACAGCTCCTTTAAAATTAGTCATACCTGTTACTTGCAGTCAGCTTGGCTTGGGTGGAAGTAAGTTTGATTTGGGGAACCATATAAAAGGCATATGAAATGCAAGTATTTTGTGCTATATCTGTTTCAAGTGTTGCTTTGTAGACACATTTTATACATAGTGTCACAAGTGTTAACACTACATTTATACAATGGTATCTCTAGTGTACACAGCTAGGTTGAAGCTGTTTAATATTTTAAAATTTCCAGTGTATCCTTATAAGACTAATACATGGTTTTAAGAAGTGGGGTAGGTTTCTTTTCTCTTTTTTTTGGTATAATAGTTCTTAATAGTTTTGGCTGAGGTTCTGCTGTCTTGTATGTTTTGTTTTGCTATGAGTCATAATTTCCTTTTATTCAGTGAATAGCAGAGGTGAGCTTGTCACTACTACTATGTCTGAGCAAATTGAGGGCATCAAGGAGAAAGTGAGCCATGAGACTGGAGTAGATAAATGTTCAACATAGTTTGATGTTTGAAGCTACTTTCTTAAAGTGATTTCTTTTTATTGAAGGCAATACTATTGTTTTAAACATAAAACTGAGTCATTTTTCTAGAAATAACTGAAACACATGTATACATTGCAGACAGAAGTGTTTTTTTAAAGTATAAATAGGGAGAGATGTTTCAAAGAAACATCCCAAGTCTGTAATTTGAAACAGAGAGCAATTGTAAAAATAAAAATTTCCCTTGAGTGTTGCTTTTTCACATCCTATAGCCAGCCTTGCTTACTGGTATCAGTGTGCCTCTGTTAACATGTATCAGCAAAAGGCTGCAGATTTAGGAAGTGAACCTATGCTTTTTAAAGTGATCTTTGTTGAAAACATTTACTGGTATTTTTAACTAAGGCTTAACTTTTTCATATGTCCATGAATATATTTTATGGGCCTTATTTGGAAAAGGAGTGACTTTTAAGGGAGCCTTTCATTGTGGTTGGAAGCTAAGGAAGTGCTTTTGGGTGAAACAGCAGTAATGTAGCCTGTGAGAACTACCAGAGGCAATTGCATTGAAAACTCAAAATGTTACAAAGGTGATGCATCTACTTTTATGATTAGTTGTTTCTTCCCTGACCATGTTTCCTTTTCACCTTCCTCACTGGCCATTTGAAGCATTATTTTGAAATTGAAAAAGAGGGAAAAAATCATCAACAAAATGAAAAGACAACCTGCTGAATGGGAGAAGATCTTTGCAAATTATGTATCTGATAAGATGTTACTATCCAAAATATTACAAGAACTCACATAACTCAATAGCAGAAAAAAAATCTGATTTTAAAAATGGGCAGAAGATCTGAATAGACAGTTTTTCAAAGAAGATAAACAGATGGACAGCAGGCTCATGAAAAGATGCTCACCATCACTAATCATCAGGGAAATGCAAATAAAACCACAATAGGATATCACCTCATGCCTGTTAGAGTAGCTTTTATCAGAACTACAACAAATAACAAGTGTTGGAAAGGATTTGGAGAAAAGGGAACCCTCCTCTGCTGTCGGATGGAATGTAAATTTGTGCAGCCACTGTGGAAAGCTGTATAGAGGTTCCTCAAAAGATTAAAGCTGGAAGTAACATATGATCCAGCAACTCTACTTCTGGGTATTTATCTGAAGAAAATCAAAACATTAACTTGAAAAGATATATGCACCCCCATGTTCATTGCAGTTTATTTACAATAACCAAGAAATGGAAATAACTTAAGTGTTCATTGATGTGTGAATAAAGAAAATGTAGTATATACATACAATGGAATATTATTCACCCATAAAAAGAAGGAAATCTTGCTATTTGTGACAACATGAATGAACCTTGAGGACATTATGCCAAGTGAAATAAGTC